CATTAAAAACTGCATGAAAAATAACAAACAAAATACAGACATTAAATGAGAAGTAAAAAATTAAAACAATATCTGTAAGACAAATAGAAAAAGAAAAGATCAATACTAGGATTCGATTCGTAACGATTCTCGAACGGTCCAAATTTAAAAGTCATCATATTGTGTCAATGTAAGTTCTGGTCTGAAACTGGCAAATCTGATCTCGTTATTGGAAATAACGAAAAAATATGTCAAATATCGCTATTTATTGATATGCAGTCAAGCATATGTGCTAAAAATATGGAGGAAAATACCAAAAAAATTGTTTTTTTTAGTATTTTGTATTTTAAGGATGTTTCGTAGATAAAATGGCAATCTAATCCCGCCATTCAAGAGAACAGAAAAACAATTATTTAACGTTTCCAAAAATTACCTGAATGTTTTTTTTAAATTCAAATATTTTTCCTGAGCTCAATTTTGATCACCAAAAATGCAGTTTTTTAGAATCTAGAATACATTTCAGTCTGAAACTGGCCCATATGACCCTGATATTAGAAGAAACGAAAAAAATAGACAAAAAATCATTCTTCATTCACATGCATTGTGTTGTTCGTGGGTGCCAATCTAAATCTGGTAAGGAAATAGGTAAGTCTCTCTTCATTATCGAGAGATAGTAGCAGGTAAACAAATTAAATTTGAAATTCAAATGCGTTACAAAAGTTATCTGAACATTTATATTGTAGTTAAATATACATTTAAAAAAAAATACAATTTACACAAAACAGACCTACTTAAAAATATTAGTTTTAATGATTACTTCGTTTCTCAGTGTAACTATAATTTGATTGCAGTTTTGAACGACTTCCTCATTACTTTTCTTAGTGTACTAAGTAGTTTAACTTTCATTGTCATTCCGAAATTTCTGTCCTACGAACATCAAAGGTACCGACAAAGCTGTCGCTTCTTATTGGGTGGAGTATTCTGTGGTAGTATATTCCGATTATAAATACACTACCATTTGGTTATTTAATGTTTATTTAGATATGTTTATTCAGATATCTCGGAAGCTGGATAAGTGAGAACCTTAACCCAGACACAGAAATAAGTAGCAGAATTGGACAGGAAAGACCAACATTTGTGAATATAAAAAATCTGCTTGATAACAAGAATCTTAATTTAACAATACCGTACCGTTTTGTGAAATGCTACATTTATTCAGTGCTACTGTGTGGTGTGGAGATTTGGACAATAAAAGCTAACTTCATGAACCGCCTTGAGCACTTCGAAATGTGGGTGTTCAGGAAAATCTTTAACATTCTCGAGACGTATTGTATAACCAACGCTAAAGAATTACGCCGACTAGGGAGGGAAGAAGAACTACGGTAATAGTGAAGCGAAGGAAAGCAGCCCACCTGGATCACATATTTAGGAATTTTAAATACCAATTTTTAAAATTGATTATGAAAAAAAAAAGATTAAAGGAAAAACGAGGCATAGGTAGAAATTAATATTCGTGCCTACAGAGTATCAGGGAATGGATAAACCTCAACGCCATGTACTTTTTAAAACCGCACAAGATCAAAACGAGTATTCCAGAATTGTCGCCAACATTCAGTAAATGAATAAGCCATCTTAAGAAGAATGTTCTTCTTAAATTTATATATACATCTTAACTATTTATAAGTATGAATATTTTTATGTACAACTATGAAATATAAATGAAACCATGAAAAGTTATAACCTGAAAATATTTTTAATGGCAATTCATTCATAAATTGTAATCGAAAGCTATTAGATATTCAAAAAAGTTATTTCGTGTCATCAACGTATCGACTTTATTCAAAGTGTGTATGAATCTAGACGAACGTTTAGCTTCAAATGGAGGATTAACAAGATACATTTCCATTAACCAAGATGATTTATTCCGTGACGGTCTGAGACTATGAGTCTGGCTTTGCCTTTAATCCACGCAGGATAGATTCAGTGGAAAAGTTCTCACCGTCTTCACGGATATGGAACGTCCTATGGGTATATATGACTTTAAAATAGATTAAATAAGGTATAACCAAATAAATATCTGCGGATAAGCATGCCATAGGAGATGCAGTTATGTCATTAGCTATAGATTTGTTTATTGGACATGACACATTAGTATATACAGAAACGCGCGGATACACACACAAAAGAGCACAACTGACTTATTATATAAGTCAGTTGTGAAGCAAACAAGATAAGATTTGTTTTGTTGACTATTGCATTTTACAACCCTGAGGTATAACATAACAGCTGAAAAAGCTTAAGCGATACCCCAGAGAGCTGTCAAATTCGGGAGCACAATACAAAAACGAACTCACAAAAGAGTGACTCTTCCGAGCCAATAAAGAAATATATAGAAGAAACGGGGACAGAGGCAACCACGGTCGCAGATCCTGTCTCTGGCGCAAATAAGTCTATGAAACCAATCAGGGTCCTAGGCGAACCTTCAGAACAATAAAGCAGCTTCTGTAAAACTTACTGTTACTATGAGAAGGTTACATGTCACCTTGATATAAGAGCCTTAGGTGTACAAGGCTAAATAAAAGGTCCATCGGATGTTGGCGAAGAGCCTATTTATAAAAAGTTTGCCGGTACATATGCTAAAAAATGAAAACAATGAGAAATAGTTCCAGTCACATATAAAAGAAACCCTAGAACACACCTGGGCAGTCGACCAGTCAAGCACGGAAATGTGGAACAACTGCAAGGAGGCTCTGAAATTAGCAGCCGAAAGCACATTGGGAATATCCCGAACCCAAGAAAGAAACGACTGGTTCGACTAAGACTGCAAAAAAATAACAGATGAAAAGAACGAGGCATTTAGAACCATGCAACAACGAAAAACTAGAACAATAATAGATAGATACAAAAACTTAAGGAGAGAGGAAAAACGCATACACCAAAAAAAGAAACGAGACTCGGAAAATGACATGTTAGAACGGCTCGAAAGCCATATGAGTCACGGAGAAACAAGAAAGTTCTACCATCAAATAAATAGTATTAAAAAAGAATTTAAACCAAGAATCAACTATTGTAATGATAAGGAAGGCAACTTACTTACCAACAAAGAGGACATCCTTTTACGATGGGTAGAGCACTTTCGAGATTTGCTGGAAGGGGAACCTACTAACAATATAGAGCTGGAATACCGAAATGAGGAACTCGTGGAACCCCCCTCGGTAGATAAAGTAAAAACATCTATAGAAAAACTAAGGAACCATAGGTCCCCAGGTAGCGATGGCATCCCAGCAGAGTTATTTAAGCACGGTGGAGAGCAGCTCACCAAGGTGATGCGAGAAATTGTTTGTAGAATTTGGTCTGAGGAGCAAATGCCAGAAGAATGGAGCTTAGGCTTAATTTGCCCGTTACACAAAAAGGGAAACCAACTGGAATGCAATAATTACCGCGGAATAACTCTCCTAAATACAGCATACAAGATATTATCAAATATTTTGCACGAGAGATTAAAGCCTTATACTGAAATGTTTCTAGGGGAATATCAGGCAGGATTCAGGCCTGGACGTTCAACCATTAACCAGATCTTTACACTACGACAGATCCTCGAAAAAGCGCAAGAGTTTAACATAGATATGTATCATATTTTTGTCGATTTGACAAAAGCGGCATATGACAGTGTCATAAGACCAAGTCTTTACAATGCTATGAATGAGTTAGGAATTCCAAAAAAACTCATACGTTTGATAAAAGTGACAATGGCGAAGATGCTATCAGCAGTAAAAATTCAAAACGACTCGTCAACCCCATTTCAAATACATAGGGGGTTAAGGCAGGGAGATGCGCTGGCGTGTCAGCTTTTTAATGTCGCCTTAGAAAAAGTTGTACGAGACGCTAATTTAGATAGCAGGGGAACAATATTTAATAGATCAGTCCAAATTCTAGCATATGCAGACGACGTGGACATTATAACAAGAACTAGGGCGAGAACTGCGGAAATCCTAACCGAGCTAGTAGCAGCAGCAGAACGAATGGGGTTACATATAAATCAAAATAAAACCAAATTCATGGCGACTAACACAAACACAAGAGCTGGAAATGTTGACAGAAATTTAATCATCAATGACCAAAACTTCGAAGCAGTCAATGAGTTCATATATCTAGGGACATCGGTTAACCCCAATAATAATACATCTGAGGAAATAAAAAGGCGAATAATAAATGCAAACAGGTGTTATTATGGTCTATCAAAGTACTTAGCTAACAAACGTCTGTCTAAAAAAACTCGCATTAGGCTGTATAGAACACTGATAGTCCCCGTTCTTACATACGGATCAGAGGCATGGATGCTAACGAAAACAGATGAATCCGCTCTATCCATTTTTGAAAGAAAGGTGCTACGCAAGATATTTGGAGCGGTCTGTGAGAACGGAATATGGAGGCGTAGATATAACTTCGAACTGCAGAATATCTACAAGCATACGTTTGGTGGTAAAGATATTACCACTATAATTAAGCGAAACCGCCTGCAGTGGGCAGGACATGTAGCCCGGGCCCCTGAATCGAACATGATAAAAAAGATTCTAAGAGCGCAACCTGTGGGAATGAGACGACGGGGTAGACCAAAGCTGAGGTGGATGGATGGGGTAACACAAGATGCGGAGAAGATCGGATTCGGCAACTGGAAAATTCAAGCAAGGGACAGAACAGAATGGCGTAGAAAGCTTGAGAAGGTCGAGGCCCTCTAAGGGCTGTAGCACCAAGATGATGATGATGATGATGATGATAATGAAAAAAGGTGATTAATTGGCTGTAGCCGATGACATATAAAAATGTACATAGTTTTATTTATTAATAATATGTCCCGTTTGAGATCGATGTTAAATATATTTTTTTTTCTATTTATTAATCAAAGCATAACGGAAAAAATTATAAATTATATTGATTTTCCAGATGATTATTAACTGTTAACTATAAACCTAAGTTAAATAAATATTTATAATTTATTGATATAATTCTTAAATACTTACGAGCAGTAGATGGATCCATAGGCGTATTGGTAGAACCTAAAATGAATAAAAACCACTATTCAACAGTAGAAAAAAATGTTCAAAGAATATTGCATAACTATTAATTTTAATTTGTTTTGAAAAATAAAAAAGACTTAGTTAACTAACATGAACCAATCTGAACGTTGTAAATGGATTGATAATTGTATTAGGGTATGCATGTAAAAAATATATAAAAATACTTTCAACATTTTTTTAAGTCAATTATCTTTAATTATTTTCAAAATGGGTATATTTTAAAAGTATGTTTTTAAGTTATATATACTCAATACACATTGTAACGAAAGCTATTTGCTTGGTATATGTGGTAGGTTGAAATCTATAAATTAAAACAATAAAATTAAATATTTTGTTACATATTGTAATTGAAGCAAAAAGCAATATCCAGTTCAAAAGAGATTACTCCACGTAATCAAACGTTAGTAGATTTTAAAACATGAAATGTCATTTGGAAAAATCAGGATCTCAACTAGAGCAATCATATTGTAGTTAAAAATATATATAATTGTGGTAAAGAGCTTATTATAAAAGAAGATTACACGAGCGAGAGAGCAGAACGAACGTAATAGTCTCACCTCACGAGTCGCTTAGACCTTTGGATTATGAGACTAGAACGCTAATATTACAACCACAAAACTTAACATGTCTAGATCTCTTGTTTTACATATATCAGATCAATTTAAAACTTAAAAAATAAATGTCAATTTGCAACTTCATGGAAAAATCAGAGTTCCCATTTAAGACAGGGCTCATATAATGAAATAAAATGTTGCCCAAGTTATTGACAATAATTTTAAAGAATGAATTTAAAAGAACTCAATTGGTATAATCAAGATATAAACGTTGATGGCGTAATAACCTTTTTCGTTTTAATCGTTTTCTACGATATGGTCATTATTGCCGCAAAATGACGATGATGACTTAGGTTGCAATCCACTTGAGGAGTAGGTAATACTAAACTTTGTTTTACCAAAAACGAAATATTTATATAGAATAAAAAATTTAAATAGCTCTTAATAAATATTTATAGCAGATGTAATATTAAATTTAATTAATTAAGTCTTAGACTCCTAAATGATCTTTAATTGTCTCAAATTATTTTTCTCAGACACCTACAAGCTATCTCGAGATGCATTCTACGATTCTACATTGAATGGGCAAAGTCGTTATTACGAGCTTGCTTAAACATACAAAGCCATAAGAGAGATAAAAATACTAGATATACCGGTTCCTCTGATTAGTGAGATATGTTGGGTGGGAGCTGGTAAATTAGACGACATAAACGATCATGAGATATTATATTCCTAGGAAGAAGGCAATATCCACGGTAATAGCATAGAACGCTGTATGTATTATAATTGGTTGATTAGTGGCATAAAACTCTCAGACAGACAAATAATAAAACCCCAACAATCTACTCACAGACTACTAAAGAGAGTACTCAAAATAATATCCAAGATATCATAAAGAAATTACAAGAGGTATTTCAAAACACGAAATAAAAACATAATATCAAAGACCAATGAAATAAAATCAAAACCATAATACAGAAGACGACTTATTAAACGTAAAATCTTCTTCTTCTTCTTGTATTGCCCATCCGTTTCGGATGTTAGAGACCATCATGGCAATCTGTATTTTGCAAATTGCTACTCTGAAAAGATTTGTAGTTGTGTAGAACCACATACGTAGATTTTTCCGTGTTTCCGTGTAGAATTAATTGCAGCAACCCATATCTTTCTATATTTCTCATGATGTGACCGAGGTATTCGGTTTTGGCTGTTTTGATTGTGGTTAACAACTCTTTTTATTTTTACGACAATAAATTCACGCTGATTTTTATGGGTACTGATAAATTATGGCATTTGAATAGCTTAGCCATTTTTCAAATGCAGATCTTGCTTCCTCTATTCTACATTTTGTTTCTAGAGAATTGTCCCAATTTTCATTGACATTCGTACCAAGGTGGGTGTATGTTTTTCCTCTTTCTATCGGTTGACCATTCATACTGATTCTTTCAATTTTCTTTTCCTTCTTAGAGATTATCATAACTTTTGTTTTCTTAATGTTCGGTGAAAGTTCATATTTCTGACTCACTTCTGTGATTCTATTGACTAATGGGACATGTAATCTGCGTATCTGATGTTATTGATACATTCTCCGTTAATTCGAATTTCGGCTTCAACATCCTCTACGGCTTCTTGAAAGATTTCCTCAGAGTATATATTAAGTAGCAAGGGTGATAGTATACATCCCTGTGAGACCCCACGTTTGATATTGATATCATCGGATTCTCCTGCCACTTACGGATATATGTTTGATTCCAGTAAAGATTGCTAATAATTCTTAGATCATAGGTGTTTATTCCAATATTTGTTATTATCTCCACCAGCTTGCCGTGTTTTACTGTATTATACGCTTTATGGTAAAAAATGAAGCATGCATAAATATCGCAATTCACATCTCTACATCTTTGAAATAGCACTTGTATGCTAAAGAGCGCCTCTCGTACGCACTGCGTTTCGAAAATCAAACTGTATATGGCTGATTTTTTCTTCGCATAGTCTATAATATCCTTTGATGTATGATTTTTTAGAAAGAACTTTAAATAGTGGCTCATTAAGCTGGCGGTCCGGAAATCACTACAGGATACGGATTCTGTTTTCTTTGGTAAAGCAATAAACGTTGACTTCGACCACGATCTTGGTATTACTCCGATTAAATATATATCATTGAATATTTTTGTTAGTCGTTGAGTATCGTTGGTGTTAAATAGTTTTATGAGTTCAGCATATGCATTTTCAGGTCCAGGAGCTTTGCCATCTTTTAGTTTTGATATTGCTTTTTCCACTTCATCTGATGTGATTGGTAAGTGGTCATTACATATGTATGATGGAGGTTGTTTGGACCTATTATCATCAAAGAGTTCTTGTATGCATTTGGTCCATATGCATATTTCTTCATTTTTATCTGTGATGATGTTCCCCTGTTGATCTTGCAGTTTGCTAGCTGTGTTGGGTTTTTACGACCAGTTGCTTGTTTTACCTTTTTATGCATATTTAAATGTATTGTGTTTTTGTTCCAACAACTCTATCTCTTCACACTGTGTTTTTAATCAATTTTATTTGGCCTTTCGTATTTTAGTTCTTATTTGTCTTTTAATATTTTTGTATATTATTTTGTTATTCTTTGATTTTCTTCTTTCTTCCACGAGTTGCAGTTTATTGTCATTCATCCAACTTTTCCTATTCTCTTCATTTTTTATTAGATGTTGTTCTCTGATCATGTAAAATGTTTCACATATATTTTAAAGTGATTCTTCTGGAGCATATGTTTGCTCCATGTTACTTAGCTTTTCTGAAACAATCCGGGTGACTGTCTCTTTTGTTTCCTTATCTTTTAGTCTTCTCATATCACATTTTTTGTTACTATTCTTTTTTGTAACCTTTTTAAATCTAAACCTAAATTTACCAATAACAAGAATATGATCTGACGATACGTCAGCACCGGGGATTTTTAACTGAAAAGAATCCACTGGTTTCCTGGTTGATCTTGCAAAGAGACCTAAGTGTACAAACGCCTTGTTGGTAGTTTGAAGAACGTATTTAGTATTGCAAATTCTTCTTCCTTAACAAATAGTTTTGTTCTTTCTCCCCTTTCATTTCTCTTCCTTAGACCAAAATCACCAATTAATTCACCGCTTTTACCTTTACCAATTTTCGCATTTAAGTCACCCATAATAATAGTTATTTCAAGTTAAGTGAATTTATCAACAACTCATAGAAATGCTTTACCTCTTCTTCTGGTTTATTGCATGGTTGGGGAATACACTTGTAAAATATTTAATTTGACCGGAGTAGTATTCAGTTGGATTATTATCAATCTTTCTGAAACAGGTAAAGCATTTGTAACATATTGGAGTATTGAGGAGATACGATTACTCCAGCTCCATACATATGTTGACCGTCATCATTTTCTGAGTGGTATACTATATGGTTGCCAACAATACAAGCAACACTATTTGGCCACCTTGGTCCATTAATGGGAGCAAACTCCTCACAAAGAATTTGCAGCCTTAATCCCAAGTATGCTTGATCGAATGAGCGTCGTAATTAGGGGTCGTGGAGGTATTACACCCTACTAAATATTGTTTTACATTAAAAATGTTCAAAAAAAATTAATTTTTGTTTCTTTGCAGACTTGAAATTTTTTTATTCTTTTTCCTTTGTTAAATTCTTGATTTTTAATAAATTTCACTTTGCTTGTTAAAAAACTGGCGTTTAAAAAAGTTTAAGATATTTCTAATTTAGTATTTAATAATAAGCAAAATTATTTTCACAGCATGCTCGTCACTTTTAGGTCTACTCATTTATATCTAGAATATTATTTTCGGAGGTCCTAGGACATTCTGATCATGAACTGTTGGAACTGAAAAATTTAACATAAAGGTATAAACTTAAAAATTATATCCAGTGCGAAGTTGCACTGTCAGATTTTTTATTTATAAAAGTGGGTCGCATATTCAAAAGGATCGAAGAACACTACTTTGTCGTTACTTACAGCGATTAAGTATATACTGGAAAAAGTGATTTAAAATACGTAGTGAAAACATAATAGTATATTGTTTTATTATCCGTAAAAATGATACTTTTTGTGGCGAGCGTTTGACATTACGACATTAAGCCAATTTTACTCCTAATAGAACATACTATTTTTTTAAACGTCATAAATTTTTTTTTCAAATGTCACAAAAGTATTCATTGACAATATAAAAATGTTACTCTTATGCCTAGACCACAGAATAATAAACAAACAGAATGCCCACTCTCAGATGCCGCCTTTGAAGTTTTTCAGCACGCGCGCCATGTTTTAGAAGGAAACACATAACACAGACATATGATTTGTGAGGTTATGTTATTGTTTATATTGATGTTTAATTATATTATATTCATCTTATTATATTTAACAATATTAATATATAATTGTATAGTATGTCAATGATTGCCGTAAGTCAATTAAACCGGGTTAATTTTGTCTATGCACACCACATAAGCAACTCTGGTTCCCTCTAAAACATGGCGGAACGTCTGCGAGAAGGAGAGTGATTTTTATTATTTGTCAAAGTGACAATAGAAGTAACCATAATAACGTAAAAGTCATCGAGTTAGAATCTAACTATGGTAAAAGTATATTGTTTTATTAAGAGTAAAAAAATGATACTTTTTAATGTAGTTTACTCCGAATAGAACATACCTACTATTTTTTTCAAACTTTGCAAATAATTTTTGTCGCAAAAAATAATACTTTTGTGACGTTTGAAAAAAAAATACATAGGGTTTGACTAAATTGATCATAAACATTAAAGAGGGATGGAATTAAGATTATATTATATGAATAATTACAAAACAAATAAGAATTATCCTAAATAAAATAATTTTATAGGATGTTCGTAAATTATCAGCAACAATGTAACATAAAAATAGATATAGTACACGGTTACTGGCACATCCTCTAAATCGCATTCCTTAAAATCGCAACCCCCGGTTGCAATCAATTTATTAACATTTAAAGGGGCTTTACTCACATATTCAGTGGCTTCACACATGTATACCTAGTAGCAGCACTAATAATTGAATAATCATTCCGAAAACGTTCTGTAATGTAGCCTGAAAGGATTGTTTTAATAAATATACCTTTTCATAAAGGATTTTTTATTTAAATATTTTGTGTTCTAAATGTTCTATCCATCATAGTCCAAAGAACAATAAATATCCATATTAGGTGGTGCGATAGGGGCAAACTCTCTGTCAATCCTAGTAAAACAGTAGTAGTCAGTTTCACAAGGAGACAGAACATCTGGATTCTCGGTCTCTATGGAGAAACTGTCAAAGAGGCGAATAAGATCAAATATCTAGGAGTAATTCTAAATAAGCGGCTTACATGGAACGCCTATTTGGTAAGAGTAACCAACAAAGCGAAGCTTTACCTTTAGACATCTCAAAGGATATGTTCGAAAAATGGGGTTTGAAACCCACACATGTATACTGGCTATATATGACTGTAGTCAGACCTATGATTCCGTATGGCGCCATAATATAGTGGTCTAAATGCCAACAAAAGACCACAAAGAGAAGCCAAGCATGCTTAATCAAAACTGTACCGATATTAACTATCCCAAACGCCTCCATGGAGGTCATGCTTGACCTCCTTGCATTACGTGTATAGATGGAGAAGGAGGCGAAGGTAAGAGCATACAGAAGGCGGATAGGATGCCAAAAATTAGGACAAAATGATATCGGGACCAAATCTGGAGACAATTAAAAATCACCTAGAGTTGGAAATGGTACCAGATCCAATGCAACCTAAATACAATTTGGAAAAATCCTCTTTCCAAGAAGGTACGAATGGAAGTACAAAACAAATCTCATAATGGCAGATCACTGCTGGTATACAAATGGCTCCAAAACCGACGAAGGAGTTGGAGCTGAGGAAATCCAAGGCTTAGCCTTATTGAAAACCTAGTTAATCACTACTATCTTCAAATAGGAAATTTATGGTATTAAAGAGAACGAAAAAGTAGGTCAGCCAATGTAGGGACAAAAGAAACACTCATAGGCTCACAACTGGTCATTGGCATAGCAAGAAGTACAGCCAAAAGAACAAGATCGGATTGGGCACAACGGATAAAACTTAACTAATAGTATGAACAAATGAGTCTTAAACATTCGAACGCTTTTATATATGAACCTTTGAAAAAGATATACTAGATATGAAAAGTAATTATCTGATAATCATCGTAGGTCTCCTATCTGGACATTAAATCCTCAAGGGGCTCATGAACAAAATCGGACTGACAGAAAGTGCGAATTGCATTCTGATAAGGCTCAATATATTGGAGCATTATTAACTAGAGCGACTTCGATAGACTTTTTAAACAGACTGGGCCAAAGGGACAACTTTAACCTAGGCTTGAGCCATAATAGACCTCTTAGGTCGAATGAAATGGCGGTTAAGCGCCTACTCAAATTAATCCTAAGCTAACCTAACTTAAGATATGAACAAAATTCAGAATATTAGCACCGAAGTAATTCAAACAAACGAAGTGGATGACTCTACGAAAATACGACCAAATCTGGTGAATCGAATGAAATATCTTAGAGTAATAAAGAAAATGTTTTTTTACTTAACAGTTGGTTTAATTTTATAATCATTTTAAGGAAATAATATAAAACTAGCAATAATTAAATTTTCGGCTTTCAGACACCAATATATTGGCTGTTTATTTAAATTTTGATCTAGATCTAGACAAATATCAGTTTTGCGTGAATGATTAACATATGAATTACCATTAGAAAAACGTTTTATGGTAGGTAAATTGGTTATTAAATTCCTATTAATATTAATGATATTATATCGATTAGTATGTTAAAATGTTATTTCTTAAATAGTTTAGTTAAGTATAGTTTCTACAAGTACTTTACTTACTTTCACCAGTAGAAGGAGAGGTAGGGGAGGTTGCTGGAGAAGTGGAAGATTCAGTAGCTAAAGAACTAGTTGATGGAGTTGTACCTACGGCAAGTAACATGTAATTACAGATAATCAGATCAGCATTCCAATTCAATGTGTTCACTTGTGGAATATGGAAAATAAAATATGCATAATATGCTGAATTAAAATTTTCATAATCAAATTCTATAAATAGTAAAATGTATGAAGTCCACTATCAAGAAAATCTACAGCGCACAACATGCACGCAACACAAAAGCCAGCATTATTAACTTAAATAAGGAAAGTAAATTACATTCAAATAAAACTATTTGAAGACAGATAGTAACGTCCACTAATTTTATTAGAACAAAATAAAATGACAATATATTAACTTAGAAAATATGGAAGAGAATGTAATTCTCGTATTGTTGTGACCCAAATTTTAAAAAAGTAAAATTGTATAAATAAAAGAATTCAACATAAAACAAAGAACAGAAATATCCCACATAATTAAAAAAATAATTCTGAAAACGGAAAATAAAAAAGGAATGGATATTTTAATCAAACAGTTCTTAATTTATAAATTATTATTACAGATATTTTTTAGATAGGACTTAATTAATTGTAATTAAAATTACATTTTTTATTTTCTTGTGAGGTTTTGATCTACAATGCATAAATAGTTTTCAAAAAAATAAAATGTTAGCGATCATCATGGTAACCTTTATCTTATCTGCAGCAACGCGGAAAAGCTGCACAGATGTTGCATTGAAATAGGTTCTGAGGTTCTTTAACCAAGGTTTCTTCTTCTTCCTGGACCTTGTTTTCCAAATATTTTTCCTTGCGGGTTGGCTTGAAGGAGAGCATATCTGGATTCATTTCGCATATGTCCGAAGAATTGCAACTTTCGAGATGTGATGGTGGTCAGTACCTCTCGGTTCTTATTCATTCTTCTGAGGACCTCCTCATTTGTGACTCGGTCAGTCCACGGGATGTTAAGTATTCTCCGATATAGCCACATCTCAAATGCTTTCAGTTTCTGCACATATCTTCGTTCAAGGTCCACGATTCAACACCATAAAAAAGATAGAGAAGACGTAGCATCGCAGCATTCTTACTTTTGTATCAAAAGAGGTTGTGACTCTTGAAGAATGCCCCCATCCGATTGAAGATGAATCTAGCTTTTCCGATGCGTGCTCTAATCTCCTGGTTGTTGGTCCATTCTTCATTTATTATGGTGCCGAGGTAATTGTAGTGCGTCACTCTTTCTACAAGGGATTGTTTGACGTAGAGTTGACCGTCTGTTATCCTTCTCTTGCTAATTATTATAAGTTTTGTCTTCTTAACGTTTTTATTAAGTCCATATTGTTGACTGTAATTCGTGATTTTGTTCATAAAATCTTGTAGGTCTTCGTTGTCCGCAAATACTATGGTGTCATCTGCATAGCTGATATTGTTTAGCCGGTAACTATTTAGTACAATACCTTTTTCAGTTTCGTGCAAAGCTTCGATAAATATTCTTTCAGAGTACAGATTGAAGATAGAATACAGCCTTGCCTCTCTTTACGCATAATTTTCACATAGTCATTGTGTTCACCTTTAACTCTGAGATTTGCTGTCTGATTCCAGTAAAGATTTCTTCAGATCTTGGTTGTTAATTCCTGTTTCTTTTAGTATTTACATCATCTTAGCGTGCTGTACTCGATCAAACGCTTTCTCGTAATCAACCAGACATGCGTATACGTCGCAGTTGACGTCTCTGCATCTCTGTACTAAGACTTGTACTGAGAACAAAGCCTCTGCAGTACCAACAGCATTTGTGAACCCAGGAGGCTTATAGTACGGTAATCTTCGCATTTTTTGGCTCCTGGTTTTTTTATAAGTGCAATAAACTCAGAATTCAGCCATTCTGTTGTTATTCCTCCAGAGTTGTATATGATGTTAAATATCTTTGCGATATTGGTATTGATTCGTTGTCCTATAGTTTATGTAGTTCTGCTTGTATATTATCAGGGCCTGCCGCTTTGCCATCCTTTAACTGTGTTATTGCGGAATAAACTTCCTGCTATAATATTCTTGGTCCATCATTTACCTCTTCTTCTAGCTCAAAGGTGTTATCTCTTTGGTCTTCACATAGTTTTTCTAGATATTCTTTCTACGTAAATATTTTAATCTATTTGTCCAAGATTATGTTTCCGTCAAAATCAGTTATATTTCCTTTCTGCCTTGTGACTATCGTACTTTGACTGCAAAGTCTCAATTTCTTCGCATCTTTTCCTTGCTTCTTTTTATTTCGCTTCTCTGGTTTTCGTTCTTATTAATATTGATATAGTTTTATAGTTGTCTCGGTCATTTTTTTCTTCTCTTTTTTCGTACGTTAGTTTCAGGATCTCATCTGTCATCCATGATTTTTTCTTCATTAATCGTCTTCAAGTGTTTATCCTTTACGTTTTGCACTATTTCTGTTATATGTTTAATCGTTTGTTCTTCGTTCGATTCGTCTCTAATTTTAGTCACTTGCTCGTTTAACGTGGCTTGAACTCTCATCCTCGTATGAAGGTCTTTTAGCATACGTAGGTCGTATGATTGTGCTTTCCTTTTCTGCACTGTTTTGAGTTTGACTCAAAATACTCCCACCAGTGGAACGTGGTCTGTCTCCAAGTCCGCCCTAGGATAAGTCAGGACAGATGTAAAGCTGTTTCGGAATCTTTTATTTACTAAAATGTAGTCTATTTGATTCCTAAAAATTCTCCCGGAGCTGTCTTGAGAGGATTTCCACGTGTCCAGCTTGCAAGGCGGTAATTGGAAGAATGTGTTGGTGACAACTAGTTCTGAGTCGTCTGCGAATTTTTTTAGAAGATCTTCTCTCTGAGTCCAAGTCCATGTGCCCCAATGTACTGTGTCTTATCTCCAGCTCCAATCTTGGCATTAAAATTGCCCATAATAATGAGAACTTTCTGTCGAGGAATTTTCTGTATTATACTGTTCATGTTCTGATCTGATAGAACTCAATTGCTTCTTTCTCCTCTTTATCCGCAGTGCGAGCATGGACTTGGATGATGTTTATATTAATAGGGTTGGCTACTACTTGTAGTAACATCACTCTCTCTGATACTGGTGTAAAGTTAGTAACGCAAATCTTGTCTAATCTGTACATTTTTTAATCGGTGAGCCTTATTTTATCCTTTAAAACTTCTCAAAAATCTCATCTCGACAGCCTGGATTCTATTTTTAACTTTTTTATTAAGGCTTCAACTTTACATTTCACTGCCATTTCATCTTTGTATCCATTCTCGTGTGTTTATCTATGGATCTTCTTATGGTTCAGTACATTATTTGGAAAGTTGGAAAATATGGAAAGTTGTTAACTTATTGTCAATATCTCGGTCATGACCACAATATAAATCGAAATACAGATAATTGGTTGTTCCAGAGAGATGTTATCAATGCACATATTGCTTCTAATGTTGTGGTTTTCCTAAAATTCCAGTATTTTAGTTTTATGTTTAGCCAATATATTGTTTGCTTAGTATGTGTAGAGGACTATTTGCAGGTTGGGTCGTTGCAGTCGTTATTAATATATCGGCATTTAGTATTGTGCTTAAGCTTTTATTTCACCCTAGGATGTAAGTCATCAATATACAATTTGAAAAGAATTAGTGATAGGCAACAACCTTACCTAACCCTTAGGTTAATTTTTTTGGGTACTTTTGTCTACTTTACAAAAGCGATATGATTTTCTAAGTAGAATTCTCTTCTCTTCTTTAGTATTAGTTTTAACGTAAGTAATCCAATTTGCGCTCTATCCGCCTTTTGTAAAACCATTTTGTTCTTCTTGTAATGGTACTTCTTCAGTCCTTTGTATTCTTCTACTACTCGTGCATATAGTTTATATGCATAGTTCGGCAGGCTTATTCTTCGGTAGTTAACGCAATTTCCTTTCTGTTTCTTAAACAGCTATCTCACTTCCTTTATCTTCCACTCTTCAGGTATTTTGCATTTCTTCCAATACATGTTTATTAGTTGTAGGAGTCTAAATTTTAGTAGGCTGCTTCAGTATTTTAGAAGCTTCACGGATATCTTATCTGTTCCTGTGGTTTTCATAGTTTTCTCTTTATTATATCATTATATCGTTATTTATTATATCATTATAGTACTCTTTCCATTTATCTATTGGGATAACATTTAAATTTCAGTATATTTATCAACTTTATTTAAACGCTTTATTATTTTATATGCTACTTCCTTCCGTTCATGGATGTCATGTCAGATGTTCCCAATATATAGATATTTTCCAATTAGAGCGTTGAACATTGCTTGTGGGGTTTTTAGCTTCATTACGTTTTATCCAGGGTATTTCTTTGTTTTCATCTGTTGTTGTTTGCAAGTTATTTGAATAATCTACTTTCTTCTTTTCAATGCTGTTTTTAAGTTCGGTGTTGCACTAGAAGTTCCTATAGTTAGTTCTTTCATTTTCATAGCACTTCTAAAGATATTTTATGTAAAAATAATTTTGAACCTATAATTCCTATAAATGTTTATTATCTGCAGTAGGAGAGAATTTGGTTTTATAGGTATCAGCCAAATTTACATTTTGGGGCTGAAAATTCTAAGAGATGTTATTATACCCTTGGATTAATATCAAATTCTAATCTTTGTGTGCTTTTTATAGTTAATTATAGATGGTAACCAGCTGTTGACTCGTTAGTATTGGTATATTCTTACTAGTTCAGTAAGACTTCTTCTTTCAATATTAGTAACCAGATCTATAAAATTGGTTTTCAACTTTCAAGATTTCATGGTTTCCTTTTTATTGATTACTTTAATGTTTTAATATTTATTTACGTGGATGGTTTTCTCTCGACTTTAATTATAAATCCTGTATATTCTTTTGTAATTAACAAATTCAGACATTGTAGTGAGTTATTGCTATCCTTTTTGATGGAAAATATGATCGATTCTTCTTTGGATTTTTGTTCATCAAAAATGTGTCTAATGCAGCAAACATTAGACAATTGTGGTTTAATTCCATCTTAGAAGTATCTGTGTTAAATAATCCACAAGTAAATAGTTTAAGAATGATTTTAAATTATTGATTATTTTAAATTTTAAATTAATGATGTTTGATTAAATTCCTATAAAATGGGTAAAGTGGGCTTAGGAAACAGAAACATGCAGATTCTCCAAAAATGCAAGACAAATGACAGAACATATTTATTATCTATAATTTCAGGGTAATTGTTCGTCAACACTAAAAACTGAACGGGAACTTATCTATAAAATTGATTAATTTATTTTAGCAGTATTGTTAATAAATTAGTTGTGTTAATGATGCATTAAAATGCATTGTGTATACTTTACTTACTCGGTTCGGTGCTGGAAACTGTGAAAACACTACTAGAAGCGCTAGAGGATGTGGTTTTGATAGTGGTAGGGGTAGAAATGGTAGAAGGGGTAGCACTAGTTGTCTCAGATGATGTACCTACGGCAAGCAACGTGCAATAATTACAAACGGTTGTAATCCTTTTGAATTTTTTACAATAATACATGCGAAGACCATAAATATAACAATAGCCGATAATGAAACTACAAAGAAAGTTAATTCCATAGCTCAGCAGAATTACAGATATTAACGAAAAACCCATACGAAATACAAATAAATGTATTGACATTAATATATACAGTATAGGTAAAAGTTTATGGTTGGTATGGACCTTACGTGAGATGGAGTGAGAAACACCTGTTTAAAAAGAGTGAGGTATATTAGATCCGCCCTTGATATCGCCGAACATGCATGCGTGGATATAATAAAAAAGAGGAAGTTCAACGTTATTAAACTTATTGGTTTTATTTGACCTGTTGTCTTTTTAGCATTTGAACAATGTTCTAAGATAATCAAATTTGGGCGAAATGGATTTAAATGGCAGCTTACGGTTTTTTATTGGGAATATGCCACAATTTTAGTTTACAATAAGTGTAATATAACATTTTGATTTCCACTTCGCAAATCGTTTTATATAAAAAAATATTATTAATTTTTCGTTTTTAAGTACGATTTCCGAATTAAAAATCTAAACATCAAAATAAGCTTATTTAAAGGTCACATTGTGCCTTATTCCCAATATAAAATAATAAACTGCATATAACGCCACAATAAAAAAGCTTTATACAAAATTATTTGGCAACGTCTCATGTAGCGTGGTCAAAGCACCGAATCAAAGTAGGGACACAGGTAACGAGTAGTAGAGGTGGGTCGTTGACGTTTTTATCGTTAAGAGCGTAGACACAAAATTTTGGGCCAATGCTTTTTAAATGCATTCATTTTTTCGAATCTTGAGAAAACTAATAAATATTTTTGAAAAATTTAAACGCAGAATGAAAGAATACATTATTACCGAGAGCCAAACGTCCCTGATTTTAATAAATTACAGGGGTGAAAAAAAAAAGAGAAAATTTAGTGTGATTTTTAATTTCAAATATCTCATTCAAAAAACTTTTTATTTATTATAAGATACTTTCGGCCCATTCTGCGTTTAAATTTTTTTAAATTAAAAATATTTGTTAGTTTTCTCATCATTCGAAAAAAATGAATGCATTTAAAAAGCATTGGCCCGAAATTTTCCGGCTACGCTCTTAACGCAACTAAACCGATTTTCGTAAACAAGTAACTATGATTGTTTAACAGTAGTTTCAAATAAGAGAGTACCTACATAAACAAACATAATGGCTATGATTGTTTATGTGTATTTTTATAAGTGAGAGAAACTAATGAAGGATATATTTATTATAACTTGAAAAACAAACTAAACAATACAAATAGTAAATCGTACTTACATTTACATTACACGTTATTATTAACTCGCTAATCGTCTAAATTGACATTTAAAAACAAGTTTTTCTACTTTACTTCTTGTTAACCGTGTTATTTTTTTATTTAAAATTAAACCAGATTTTGAATGTGTTCACATTTACAATACTTTATGAATATAGTGGTTAAGTTACAATATACATGACGATGGTTTTTCCACCACTGTAATGGACTCTCGATACAGGGGTATGTGGGTATTATATCATCAGACAAATACATGTCGACTTCTTTTATCTCTCTCGATACAGGTGTATGTTTAGATGAGTCATATCCAATTAATTGATCAAAAATACAGCATGGACTTAAGTCATCTTTATCGGTTTCTTTTTCTTGTACTGGTTGATTTTCAATAGTACAATCTTCTTGTTTTTTAATTATAGAAGTAACCAGCTTCTTAACTCTTTCTTTTGTTTTTTTAGCTTTATTTTTATCAGAAAATCCCTGCACTTTAAATCATGAATTCATAAATCTACATAATGACAATGTGCCACTCTGTTCTATCCCTCTAAATCTTTTTACTAAACCCGATATGAGTAATTGTACTACGTCGGATACTATGGATGTAAGGTTACCGTTTGTTAAATTTTATTGTAAGATTCTTGCAGGCAGCGTACCATAACAATCACTGAACTACCCTTCAAGTATTTTTGGCCACTCATTGTACTTGTTTTTTTTTATTAGAAAAAGATGTCGCATCCACCAAAAGGTTATTAGCGACGGAACAAAATATAAATAACAAAGTTAGACACCTACAGATTGTACAAAATGTTTATGGATTTAAGAAAATTCACTATATTTTCATAGGAACAGTTTTGACCTAGAGCCTGTGGTAGAGCGTTTGGGATCTTGTAGCGCTGTCTTTCTTGGTCATATTTACTACAAATTATTAAAAAGTGTTCGACTGTTAATCGGACGTTACACTGATCACATATAGGTGGATTATTCTTTGTGAAAAGGTAGGAGTGCGTTAATCTGGTATGTCCCAGACGTAAACGCGCAACCGCAATTTGTTCCCGTCTATTGCGCGACGATGGAAACCACTGAGACACATTATTTTTAATTTTATTTAGATTGGAATTAGTTCGAGACCACTCATTTCGCCACAAACACAACACTTTATTTTTAAAATAAGCTTTTAAGTCACTGGAAACACACTTGTCTATCGGCTCCGACAAATCACTTAAAATAGCCTCTCGTGCAATCCTGTCAGCTTCTTCATTTCCTGTTGCATTGTACTTGTTATTTCTTTAAAAGGCCGTAAAATTTGGGAAAGTTGGGAACAAATAATCCAGTGTTCATTGTTTAGATTTAGTCTAAGTCTGTATTAACTAATACCAAAGTGGAACGGATTGTCTCTTCTAACTCGGTCATTCTTTTTAACATATAATAGGTGAAGTTCTACCTAGTTTCCTCGTCTTGGATTGGCCGTTTGAGAACTTTGTTATGTTATAATTGATACTTTAAAAGCCTTTCTAAAGATAAGGTACTTTTTTAAAATGTGGTTTTTGCCGAATTGTTGAAAAAAGGACTACATGACAGCATTTAAGTGCGTCCTCCACCAATAAATTTAAAGTATGAACAAAACAATAATTTAAATGTTTTCATTCCAAAACATCTTTAATAGACTGATTAATAATTTCACTAATTTCAAAAGCGATGTTTTCTTAATTATGGTTTCCAGAAAAATGGCAGCAGCCTAATAAAATCGTTTTAAATTCTAAATTTTCGGTTAAATATTGTCCTGTTAATGCGATGTAACTCTCAGTTCTCTAGATGTCCAGTGGTCAGTAGTAATACATATTTTCTACTTCTTCAACAACTTGTGATCTCATAATTTGCTCAGTTTTGATATAACATTCCTGGAGTAATGAACCTGACAATTTTTTTGTTGTTGGAGGTTTATATCCAGGAATCCACCCTGCAAACTTTTTAAAAGCTCGTTCTTCAACTATGGAAAACGGATGCAACGAGTCTTTGCATAGATTTAGTATATCCATATCTATTTGTTTCTTCTGTACTATATGTATATGTAAGTACTATTTGTATTGTTTAATTTATTTTTCAAGTTATAATAAATATATCCTTCGTTAGTTTCTTTCACTTCAATACTTATACACATAAACGATAATAGCTAATATGTTTGTTTGTGTACTCGCTTATTTGAAACTACTGGTAAACAATCAACTAGTTATAGTTTACGAAAAACGGCTCCGATAAAATGTCAACGACCCACCTCTAGTTTCTTAGTTATATTAGGATCGCAACCAGAGATACGTAAAATATCATATATATATATATATATATATATATATATATATATATATATATATTGATATATATATATATATCAATATATATATATATATATATATATATATATATATATATATATATATATATATATATATATATATATATATATTTATATATTTATATATATATATATATATATATATATATATATATATATATATATATATATATATATATATATATATATGCAACTAAGTAAAGTTTCTCATTGCAACATTCAAATAATTTCTTTATTAAAATAAATTTACATGGCACCATTGAATTGCTCTCGTCTCTCGTCGTAGACTCCTGCATAGTCATTGCTTTTGAAACGATAACATTACAATCCTATCGAATACAAAGAAATACCAACCTAAGTTGATACTCCCTGTCCGAAATTTGTGTGTCATCGGATTTGGCAAAATAAGTTTTTTTCTCCTCCCCAGCGCCGGGTGGGCATCCGAGAGATCGGAGTTCGGGTCATCGAGCCCATATTTGCCGCACATGATCTCGATGTATACAAGTTTCAGGAAAAGGTCCTTATTTGACCTGCCTGAAGGGTCTGCCTATGCGGCTGCTATAACAGACCTGTTGGGCCTTTTCTATATTATATTGAATTCAATTTAAAGGTCAGTATTCACTTGATATATACAATGGATATATACAATTATACAATGGATGTGCGTGATTAGTTTAGACAGAAAGCGATTTTTTTTTACCTGATTACCTTAAAATGGGGTGCGCATTTCCAATTATATACTGCTCCCACACACCCCGTGTATAATTTTTTTTTATTTTTCTTACACCCTGTGGCTATCTCGGTCATCGTTATTCTGCTTCTTTAATATGTCCGGCTATTTGTTGCTTCGGCCGTCTGTGTACTGTCTCTATGTTTTCATAGTACTCCTCAACTCTCTTAATTTCATGTTGGAGTGGTTTCTGAGCCCTTTGAATATTTCCTATACTCTTTCATTCATTGTCTTTAGGATTCTTTTTTTTGTCCAGAGTCTCTATAAATACATATCTTGGGTGTTCTTAGAGGGCCAACAGGGTTGGTCCTCTCTAAACTTTGAATCTTCTGTTTGTCAAGTATGATGCAAGCAGACATGTCATCGCCTCACTGTTACCATAGTTGTTCATGTAATACAGCAAGCCTTGCTGCCAGACTCTGTCGAAGGCTTTACTCACATCGAAAAATGCTGCTGCTGTATACATCTTCTCGTACTAGTGCTTGTGATTCCCGGTTGAGTCTAATTAGGATGACTCTTTCCGCTATTTTACTTATTGATGGTAGTAAGCTGATCTGTCGGTATTTTTGTGGGAAGGTATCTTTTTTTCTGGGTTTCGCTATCGTAATAATATGAGCCTCCTTTTATTTGTCCGGGAAGTATCTTAGCATTAGGATGCTGTTTATGATGCTTATTACATGTACTATTGTGTAAGTGCGCTCTTTGTGATGTTATCCGGTCCTGGTACTTTCTTTGCGTTAGTCTTTTTTATTAGTTGTTTAATCTCCTCAGGGAAGGTATGTGTTATACCTATTCTGCCCCCTCTTCTTCTTAGACTTCTTCTTCTTTGAAGTCTATGTCTTCGTAGGGATGTTCATTGTTGCCACATGCCTTTTCTACTTCGTCTTTCATGACTTCCGCTTTTGCTTCCTCGGTATATCCAACTCCATTTTTCCCGTGTAGGGGTGGGATTGGTTTTTTGTCTTTACGTAATACTTTGGATAGTTTCCAGAACGCGAATTTATTTGGGTTTAGCTATAATTATCCCAACTTTCGTTTCTATGATTTCCTAGTGGCCTTTTCATTTCTTAAGACTGAAGATTGACATCCATAAAATATGGCTAGATGTATGCTCCTTTTTAAAGATCTTTAAAAAGGGTAATCAAAAGATTCTAACTGCTACAGAGGATTAAGTGTCCTACCTACTTTCGGGAGATTGTTTGGAAAGATAATAAATGGAAAAATACAAGATAATGTAGGACAACTAATTAGCGAAGACCAAAGTGGATTTACGCCTGGTAGATCGTGCAGTGATAACTTGTTTATACTAAAACAATTAATAGAAAAAAAATAGCGGTTGGTACTGAAGAACATGTAGCCTTCATCGATCTAGAAAAGGCGTATGATACAGTTCCAAGACTTAAATTGTGGCAAGCTTTACAACAACTCGGCATTAGTCCATACCTTTTAGGAATAATCACAGAAGTATATAGGGATAACACTACTTACAAAAATCGAAAATAGACTACCAGAGCCAATAAAAGTAACTAAAGGACTAAAACAAGGATGCAGTATGTCACCCTTACTGTTAAATTTATATATTGAGGCAGCCCTCCAAAATTGAAAAAACCACTGCCAGGGAATGGGAATCCCCATAGGAAATGACGTACTGTTTTCCTTGAACTTTGCAGATGACCAAGTCGATCTAGCTCAAGATTCTTATGATCTAGAATTTATGATAAAGCGTCTATACAAAGAATATGTAAAATGAGGGTTACAAGTCAGCAAGAAGAAAACAGAATATTTCGTTATCAATTCAGATGCAAGGTTTGAAGTGTTCATAGACGAGAACGTGGAAATCAAACAAGTGGAAAAATTTAAATATTTAGGTGCCCTAATTGATAAGAACGACTTGGAAGAAACCGAAATTAAACAACGAAGTAATTAATCAGGGACGTAAAATTGTACGATGTTTGAACTCTTTATGGGGGGATCGCAACATTTTCAAAAAGAACAAAAAAAGAATAGGACAAACCATGGTTGAATCAGTTCTTTGTTATGGCTCTGAAGTATGGACAAGTAATGCAGATCTGAAGAAAAGATTGTTGGCAGTTGAAATGTATTATTTGAGAAGAAGTGCTAGAACATCAAGGCTGGAAAGGAAGACGAATTTATAAGAAATAACATGAATGCTCCAGAAACTGTCATTGACAGAATAGAAAGAAGAGGTTTAAAATGGTTTGAACACCTATTGTGAACGTCTGACGAACGAAATATTTTATAAAACTCCAAAAAGAAATATTTCAGAGAAATGATGGAGAACCAAGAAATAAGATACTCAGAAAATGCACTAACAAAGAATTGTTGTAATTAATTAGAAACCAAATTTCGAAAAAGCATCTGTCATTGATAAATGATCCAAACGCATCGGGCACACGGTTTTACATTTTCCTCCATATTAGTGATATTTCACACAATTGATTAAGTAGAAAGTATCCCTAATAAAGTACGTGTCCCCTAGCGGCGGGGTACGGGTAACAATTACTAGCTTATAGCAGTCCTTATAGTACGAAACCTGGCCTATACATAACATGCAAGCGGGCGTGGGGTAATACTGCACTTTGGTTGCATTGGTGGTGTATTGACTGAATCGTGTTTGGTATGATGCGAAAAAGTATTCAGGCATCAAAAGCCTGAAAATCTTTTCAGGTCGTAATAATGAAAAGATCTTCTCCAAGGTAATAAAAATTATACTAAAATGATAGCCAAGGTAAAATATTCCGTAAGCAAAATAAGCCTCTGTTCGGACTTCCGGGTGAGGACTGTCTCAGGGGGAACACCATTACAGGCTAGAAAAATTATAATAGGGTTTTGGAATCTTTGAAGTCTTACAGGTAAGAGTGTGGAGTTAGTAGATGCGCTAAAAAAAGGAGAGTACAAATTGCTTTTATTTAAGAGACTAGTTGGAAAGGACAAAGGGCGAAAGAACTAAGTGAAGCATACAAATTGTGGAATGTAGGGAAAAGTAATGATATATTAATTAATGAAAGATAATGTAGTAGAAGTTGTAAGAACGAGTGATAGAATAACTTTAGTGAAATTACCCTCAAACAGGGCAGGGTGAGAATGAAAGAAAAGCTTTCTGTGATCAATTACATTAAGTGTATATCATATTGAGCGATATTCTATCAGAGGAGAAAGTTATAAGAGGAAGTGATTTTAATGTACATAAGCAACAGCATTAGATATGGCTATGGTTGGCACATTCTTTAAAAGAGATAAAGCCATCTTAAAAACATACAAAAGTGGACAAAATTAATCCCAAATAGATTCTTTCATGACAAAAAAGAAGATATATATGAATGTAAGGACTGCAAGGTAAAAGTTAGTGGAAAAGTAAGCCAACAAAATGAGTTGCTTGTACTAGACATCAAGATAAAAAGCGAAATCAAACCACAATATCGGAGAGGATCTCAAAAAATCAAGAAGTAAATGTTAAAAGATAAGAAAAAAGGTCTATTCAGGACAAAAATGGTAGAAAAAATGTATAGGAACATGAAATAAAGTACTAATACAATTTGTAGGAAGATGGCTAGTACCATTAGAGATACTGCTATTGAAATACTTGGAAAACTGCCAGGAAAGAAGTTTGAGAATAAGGAAACCTGGTGGTCATTTACCGAAGTTCAAGAAAAAATAAGTGAGAAGAGAAGATTATATAAACAGTGATAAGAAAATAGGTTGGTCACAGATGTTCAAACGGCTGGTCGCCAAAAAGGAAGCAAAGTGGCAGTAGCATAAGCTAAATCAGAATATATAATAATGCTATAATAATTATAAGATCAACTTAATACCAGGGAAGGAGAAGTCAAGATTTATAAAATAGACAAACATAAATCAAAGAAAGCAAAAGATTTTAATCAGATTATATGTATCCGAGATGAAAATAGTAAATACTAATTCACGAAAAAGATGTCAAAAATAGATGGAAAAAGTACTTTGATAGGTTATTAAATAAAGAATTTGACAGACAAATAGTTGAGTTAACGAAGACAGTAACAGCAATGGTGATAAAAAGAACAAACGAAGACGTGGATCAAACAATTCAAAAAATAAAGAAAGGAAAAGCAGTTGGACCAGATGATATTCCTGCTTTCAAATATATGATATAGATGATTTCGAATATGCCTTGCCATATTCGAAAACCCGACGCCCTAAATATTTAAAATCAGTCAAATAATGCTCTGACAACAACGCCATCGAGGGGTTTCCAGCGTCGAGTTAGTTATTTCCTTCGTGAGACATGGTCCAGACATTCGCTTCTAAGAAAACTTATTTGGCAAAATGCGCTGCACATGGTTGACAAAGATACTGAAAATCGATTGATTTTATGCTTATTCAAAATACCAAAATAAAAAAAAAGCTAATTTGATGTTTAATTAAGGAAAACAGTAAAATACTTACTACTAGTAGGAGATACAGCGTTGCAATAAAATGAACCAGAGGTACCCGGCTTAGTAGGACAACAAGATATGGGTAAATCAGTACCATTCATAACTGACGTCCAGTCTTCATAACTTTTAACTCCACAGCATGTGAACTACAAAATTAAAACATATTTTACAATAGTGGAAAACCATAATAACGTGTTAATATAAAGCTATATAAAGAGACTAAAAACTATATATAAACACCCCAACATGTTTAAGGGCTTCACAGAACGTAAACATCCTTAACGTTGCCTTAATTATACATGATTGTCACACGTAATTTTTTATTATACCTACATTAATTAGAAAGTAGTAAAATATGTTATAATCTCACAGACCACCAAGATTTAAAATTGTTGATGATGGAGAAGTAATAAATTATTTTCAAGGTTTTTAATGTCCTGCTTCAAAAATTCATTCTTTATTTTTGTAACAACTCTAGTTTTTTTGTAATTGATTCTCAAATTTTTTTAGCCTTTACCGAGATTTCAATTATCAATACTTTACTTTGTCAAATTTAAAGTCAAGCCCCTCGTATATTTCAGAAGCTGTCTATTGGCAGCCCAAATGCTGCCATATAATGTTTTTATATATGTATTGACCTCAGAAGTACTGTGAAAAGTCTTGATATGATTACTTGACGTCAGTCTCGATTTTAAGTTATGTATTTTGACGGCATAAATAACGTTAAAAATATAGTTTTATTATTGTTATTATTAGTAGCCCAAATTACAAAATATTTGTAGGTACTAAACTAAAGAATATAATAAAAATCAAATTTTCTAACAAAATAAAAATAAAAATTAATATCCAATAGAACTAGTACCTACTTAAAGTTCTTGAAATAATAGCAAATTACAAAATTACAAATATTACAAAGTATAATAAGATTACAAAATTTATTCTAGTATCTTGAGGTATCTTAAGTATCTTTTTTAATATCGTTGAGATAATAAAAAGTTTGATGTTCCCCAAAAATCCAGCCTAAGCATTCTATAAGTAGATATGACATCACTTCTTTCTTTGTTGATATTGTTGATAATCTTTCCATTATTCTTCTGGAAATAACTCTCTTTTCATAGTTACTTCTCGACAATATTAACTCTTTTGTTAGTATATTCGAAAATGGTCTATGAATACGTATATTTTGTTCAGATGGATTTTTCATTACCCTTTTCCATTAAATGGTTTTTTCTTTACTCATTGCGATCAGTAGATTATCGATCCAGGGCCTTCTGGGATTAGTCCTAAGGCAGTACCTTTGAAGAACATGTATATATTCCTCTATATATATAATTTCTTTATATTTATTCCCAGAATCATTACATGAATAACCATCTAAATCCGGCCCAATTACTTCGTTAAAATAAGGATCTAATTTAATTTAATCTATTTTATCAAATTCTTTTTTTTTTCTTAGGAAAAAATTACTATTTTTTCATTGATTGCACCAGTAATGTCCAATTGAGCTTGTGTCTGAAGAACTACATTGTCAGAAATACCTATTGGTGAAAGATAATGAATTTCACTCAGAAGTTCTTTCTCATTAGCGGTTATTAAGTCTAAAACTGAAGGTGTATTACCTTGACGATATTTAGTAGGTGATTAGTAATTGGTTTGTACCAGTTTGCAAAAATAAATTGTAAACTGGAACACTGGGTTTGAACTGGCCATTTAAAATCTTTAAAATTAAAATCTCCACCTATTCACATTTCATACTTTATTGTTAGTTCCTTGTTAAGTACTTTACATTTTTTCAGTTCCTTTCGCACTTTATTTAAATAGTTTATTTGATATTTAGTTAAGTCATCCTTCAATTGAACTCTAGAAAAATTGGTTCCTAACAACATAAGCTTACTACTATTGTTAACCTTTCAAATACGAAAAAGGACGTGAATGAGGGATTGAGCGGTTTTATTGAATCTAAAATCGTAGAAACCTTGGATCCATCCTCTGCCTCATTATCGTCATCTTCTGATTCCGGTAAATTATAAAAAATTAGGTTAAACGATTTCTGATAACGAAAATTTGCTTCTTGTAAACAGTACTCGAACTCCATTATCAAGTGTATTCTTATTTTCTACTAGTGAGTGCTGAAACTTGACTGGCCTAATATTTTATTGCTGCTAATGACTTCTTAAATTCCGGTTCTGTAAGATACAGGTAAAAGTGCGACGAACAGCAGTCAATAATTATTAAGTCAATAAACAGTCAATAATTATTAATATTGATTTTTATTCCACTTGTTCTTTAAATAGTCGTAAATAATTAAAAAACCACAATAAACATACGTGGGATGAACTCACTCTAAAACTGTAATATGCGTTTCTTATCACTTATTACTTTTGATTTGAATATTTTAAAATTAATTGTAAATGAAGAAACCATATATATATATATATATATATATATATATATATATATATATATATATATATATATATATATATATATATAAAATTGGTTAAACTGAGAATCCGATATTACTTAAAAAAATATTGTGTTGTATATTAGCAGCAAAGGTATTTTTTTCTCATAAAACCGCTTAAACTGTCCGTAAAGAAAAACACTTGAAATGTTTCTTCCATTTTTCCACTTAAGTCTCTCCATTACCTGTCGTAAAAACAAAGGAAAAGCGTTAATAATCACTCTCGTGTTGATGTTCTTTTGTCACAAGGGTGGAATAAGTGTGCGTCATTACTTGTAACTAGCACAGGGTAGTATCAACTTGATTTAAGAAAATATTATTTCTAGCTTGTTTGAAATTTACCGGCTTAAATACTTCAATGATTATAATAATATATATATATATATATATATATATATATATATATATATATATATATATATATATGTATATATATGTGTATATATATATATATATATATATATATATATATATATATATGTATGTGTATATGTATATATATATATGTATATATATATATATATATATATATATATATATATATATATATATATGTATATATATACATATTAAATGTTGGTAAAGGTATCGGAGAGGTTGTTCTTTTGCTGGTAAGAGCAAACCATTAAAATCTCCGGTAAATGCCTAACTGAGAGTGACGAATGAGTCACAGCTGATCTAAAAAGTCAGCCAGCTCTACCAACGAATCCTACCTCCTACGTCCACGAAGACATAAGTCACGTAATCCCCGGGCAATATATGGCGTATTGTGAGAGTACGTTGTATAGCAGAAGGAGGAGGGTGAAAGGCGAGTTTCGGCGCCTTATAATCGAAACACACCAGCGAACCCTTACCAACCCGCACTGAGGCAGCGTGGTAAGGTACGCCTCACAACCCCTTACATGGAAGATACATTCAAATCATGGCCCTCATTCTCCGTAGGCCCAAATGGCCCTGAAGTGGGTAGCTTTCGGGATCAAGCCAGGAGGGCAGAGGGTGCTAAGAATCTGCGGAGTTTAAACCGCTACCCAAATAAAACAACAACACTTTATATAGCGACATATAACTGCCGCTCGCTATCAAATCAATCCAGACTTGTAGAACTGGAAAAAGAAACTGATCATATAAAATGGGACGTCATAGGAATCAGTGAAGTAAGACGGAAAGATGAAGAACTATTGGAATTAGAGTCAGGAAACACATTCTACTACCGAGGAACATTAACGGGCAGAACAGGTGGTATTGGATTCCTGATCAACAAAAAATGGAAACGAAGAATCGTAGAAATAACTAGTATCTCGGATAGAGTAGCCAGTTTAACTTTACAACTATCAAGGAGATATACTGTACAAATTATACAAATATACGCCCCAACAATTACTCACTCTGACGAAGAAATAGAAGAACTCTACAGTAACATAACTGAAGCATTAAATAACAACAAAAGTCACTTTAAGTATTTAATTGGTGACTTTAATGCCAAAGTAGGAAAGAGAAACGACAAAGAACAAGTCATGGGAAAGTATGGAGTCGGTGAGAGAAATGAAAGGGGAGAAAGACTGGTTCAGTTTGCTCACTACCAAAATATGCCTATTGCAAATACATTCTTTAAGAAAAAGTCGAACAGAAAATGGATTTGGGTAGCACCAAATGGAATCACTAAGAACGAAATTGACTTCATTCTAACCAACAAGATTGCTACAATAAAAGACGTCAGTGTAATAAATAAATTTCAAACAGGCAGCGACCATAGACTACTCAGAGCAAAAATTGTTCTAGACCTAAAACTAGAAAGAATAAAATTAATCGCAAAACCAACAATAACCGGTATAAATATTAGTAATCTAAAAGAAAACTTAGGTCAGTATCAAAGGACAATTGATGAAAGATTACATGATCAAATCGACAGCTCTCAATTAATGCAAATCATCCTTGATAGTGCCAAAGAAATCGGAGGCCCGCAAGAACAAAACGAACATAGGAAACTATCTAATAAAACAAAAACAATGCTAAAACAAAGAAGGGAAATGAAAGTAACTAGCAACGTACAGAGAATACAATACACAGAACTTTGTAAGACAATAAGAAAAAGTATTAAGGAAGACATAAGAAAATACAATGAAAGGCTGGTAGAAAATGCAATCGAAAACAGAAAGAACTATAAGAAAACAAGAAAAGCATTAATTATTGGGAAGAAGCAAATCGTGGCTCTAACAAACGAAAACACCAGAATTACAGACAGAAATGAAATAATACAACTCGTGACTAAATTCTATAGCGAACTATACAAAGCTCCTGAAACGCTTGAAGAAGCAATCAGTAACCACGAAGATGTACCAGAAGTCCTTCCGGAAGAGGTAGAATCGACAATTTCAAAAATGAAAAGCGGTAAAGCAGCTGGAATTGATGGCATAACAGTGGAACTGCTTAAATACGCTGGCAAAAAGACGTGGAACATCTTAGCAGGTGTATTTACGAACTGTCTAAGATCAAGATGCATACCAGACCACTGGAATACAGCAAACATAATTTTGATCCATAAGAAAGGTAATAAAGAGGAGATTAAAAACTACAGACCTATAAGTCTACTACCAATCATATACAAGATATTCACAAAAATCATCAACAACAGATTAACAAATGCATTAGATGCTGCACAGCCAAGAGAGCAAGCTGGCTTCA